CACTTAAAATGTGATCGATTCGAGATTTTTTCCCTTTTCTTTCAGATTATCGAAATCGGGGGGTAGGTGGGATAAATATTTGGAAAATATTGGTTTGTTATCTCGTCGTCGATCTTGCCTACGTTATGATATTCTTATCTTTCCTGGGTCTCAGGCAAAGTGTGAAGTAAAAATTTTGATTAAAATTTAAGAAAAATTTAGAAAATTTAAACCTTAAATTTGTCTCTAGACAAAGTCCGTCAAGAAGGCAAAGACCTAAAAGAACGTTGATTTTTACCAATCATGAGTTTGTGTAAATTTTAAATCTGATGATGGCGCTGTTGTCTCGCCGAAACGTAATGAAATAACGATTTTCAAAATTTTTACTTCACACTTTGAGACCCAGGAAAGATAAGAATATCCTAATCCTAAGTACACGCAGTCAGGAAAATAAATCAGAATTGCGTGCGGTCTTGTTGAAAATTATTTTAATGGAATTTCGACAAAATTTTGATAACTATTAATACAAAGTGTTAAAAAAAAGTTTAAAAATGACATTGAGTAAACCATTCACACAACTAAAAACTCGCACCGCTGCGGCTATAACTGCAGCGTCAGCAGTATCTTGCATATTGACGAATGTAGACAAACGTTTGAACCACAATTCAAAAGGAATTTTGCTTCAAGCTTTCGACACACCGTGTAGCAGATAGATTTGCCGCACGAACTGTCGAACTTTTTGACTCAAATGTTCGGTCCAACGTTGGAACGAATGTTCGACGCATCGTGTAGCGCCGGTTTAAGCTAAACTTCTCTCAACACATAAACAAAAGTATTAAAACAGGAATTTAAACTGCCGCCTACCTACACCCTCTTCTTAATTGCAAAAGCATACTCTCACTAGAAAACAAAACTCTAATTTACAAACAAGTGATCAGAGCACAAGTTTGTTACGGGGCACCTGTCATCAGCCAAACATACAAAACAAACATTCCAAAACAAACTCCTACATGAAATTTCACGCGCTCCCTGGTACATTCGAAACATCCAAATCTACAAAAACCTCGAAACGGAAACGATTCAGGAATTCATTTTGAAACAAAAAGTTGAAAACCAAAATCCTCGACCACACAAATCCCCTAATCCAAGAGACTTTTTCCCGAACAATCCCAAAACTCCACTTCAAATTTTCCAATAGTCTAATGGCAGACCCCCCTTGGAAACACCCAACTTAAGAAAAAAAAACCCGGCTTAATGAAAAACAAAATTTAAACACATTAAAGATAAATAAGCCCAAAGCACAGAACCAGTTTCTTCCAAACTACCCAAAACTTACCTCTTCTTTTTCAGTGGATTTTTTTTCTCGTTTACTAATCTCAGGCAAATAATCCCCTACCTCACCCAGGCTTACTTATAGGTTAGCACTAAAGACTAAAAGCCTTAACAACTAACAACGGCAAACCGCCCACTCGAGATGAAAAAAAAAACCCTAAGAATAATTTATATGGCAATACAACGTTTGCCGGGTCGGCTAGTATTTAATAAAAAATAACTTTTTGCGATCGAAACTTGGTTTTCGAGGAAAAAAGTTTGCTGTTTTAACTAGACGAATGAATCGAAAAATGTTTGAACATTTTCGACTTGTCCATGTTTTTATGTAAACATAAATTTTCAGGATAAAAGCTTCAGCTTCAAAATTCGAGTTAAAGTCGGAAACCGATTTTGAGTATCAAAAATTAAGGAGGTCAAGTTTGCCATTGGATATTGTAGTTTCCTGTTACAACATGTTATGTTTATAAGTTTATGTGTGCGTTTTATTACTTATATCCTTATGTTCCTAAGACATGGACGGTGGTTTACCTCGCTTTAACATCTCTTTTGAACAAAGCGTATAGAGGTATAGATTTTTTGGCGCATAAATGATTCTTTCTCAATTAGATCTAGGAATGACCTTGATGCTGACCTGATAGGGTCGAACTAAGAGCGAATTTGGATTCAGCAGGTCAAAATACTACAGGAAATAAATGGCTCAAAATGTTTTTGCCGGTGGATAATGAAAAAATTGATATATTACCACGACTGTGTTTCCTCTCCAAAGTCAATTTCTTCAGTTGCTCTTCTTGCTTGGCCCGCTTCTCCTCTTCTTCTTGCTTTCTCCTCAGGTTTTCGTTGTCCTGTCTGGCCTCGACAAATGCGGTCAAGAATGTATCGAATACTCCAAAGAACTCGTCTGGTTGTGCGTTTGCTGCTTCCTCGCCAAATAGTCTGACTGCCCGCTCAAATCTTGTCTAAAATTTTAGCAGAGTTATATAAAAATTGAAAATCGTAGAAGAGCAAAACTAAAATGAATTGAAAAAATTCAGCGTAGGCTTTTTAAAGTGCGATTTGATATGATTTGTTATGCAGAATTTGCAGTATTACGATACTGACGCTATTACATATTTTCGGTTAAAATGCTTGAGGTAACGAAAATAACGATTCTGGTATATAGATAGATAGATAACAGGTAAAAAAAAATGCGTCAGAAACATAAGAAAGTGAAATATTGAAATTATACCTCTATGTATACAGGGCAATATTTCTTGGATTAAACGAAAACGATCTGACCTAAATTTTATTAATAAAAAATGTCTGGCTCCATATAAAAAATTCATGGTCAAAGTTCTTTAAAACATTTGTCTTTTTTCAAATATAGTTGTTGTATATGTTGTTTTAAACTTTTTGCAGAATTTTTTACTTGTCGAATGGAATAAACTCATTTTGTTTTGGTTGATGCAGTGATCATTTATTCACATTTTTGTGCTCTTTGTAAAATCTGGCAGCATTCATAGTTTTCTCTCAAAAAAATCATGCCTGTTTTATTGCCACTTTTGTCTTGTACTATGAGTACAACTTAATTTGGAAATTGTCGAAGAAATTCCGGTTTACTGTTCAATTACCCCCTTACCTTCATATCTTGGTATTGATCCTCTACTTCAGCCAGCTTGCAAGTGGCGGTGGCTTGAAACTCCCTCATAACCGGTACAAATTTGTCGTTGGCTAAAGGGCTTTGGCTTCGATGAAACTCGATTTCCCTTGCCACATCTTTAAGGCCTGCCCGCAGCTGAGCCATGTCCTTGCTGAGCTCCCCAAGGGAAACCTTTGCCGATATTCTGACGTGCGGAAGATCTTCATCTAGACGGCAAATGTCTCTGAACTGAAAATGGTAAAATTTGCTATGGCCTTTTCAGTTCAGTGATTTGATTACCTTTTTTTCCAAGATTTGGACTAGATAATGCAAAAGCGTGGTTCCCTTGGCGGAACTGCTTTTCGTGTCAGCCAACCTGTTCAAAGAGGCCAATCTGAATCCGGATGCATTTCCCCGAGCGCCCCTATTCATATAGTTGCCCAAAGCTAAAACAATTTCTAGTAGCCTTCTCAATCGCCTTGATCTGGAAACCTCTCTGGAAGCCTCCATTACGCTGGTTATTCGGGGCTGAATTTCGCTTAAGGTAACTTGGAATCGTTTCTTATAGTGTAAACTACGTAGTCGTTGTTCGTAATGAGGAACTCTACAAGTTCAATGTAAGAATCTCGCCAAGCAGTTCAACTCAATCAACTTACTTAGATACTTCATATAAAAACCTATCTGCTCTGGCCAAAGAATCAATTTCATCACTGTGTTCATCCAGTAAAACGCATTCCTCTGGAGAAGGAGTAAACTTTAGCAGCTGTTCAACCATATCGATTGGAAGGTTTTCTTTGCTGTCCATGCTCAAAATGGCTTTGATGATGTCTTCATCGGACATTTTCAATTTGGACAAAAGAATAGTGCAGTTTTGAGCTCGTCTTCCATCGATCACCGATAATACTTTGGTTTTATTTTTGCCCAGCTGTCGTAGGTCTTCAATCGAACCATCATTCTAAAATGCGAAAATGCAGACAAAATGTAAAAATTTGTGTACTCAATAAATGTATGGAACATGGTTAATGCCTGAGAAGAAGATAAGTATTTTCAAAATTTTATGGTGGCAGGCTAGAAAATTGGAATGGTAGGTCCGGCTACAGTGGCCACCATTTTTTTTATTCCAATTTACTTACATTTTTTTAAACTTTTTTCTTGGTTACCATTTAACATGTCATATACTTAAAATTCCGAATTATTCACTATTCTCTGCATTTATGCATTTTGATATGTTTTGAAAAATGGCCACTGTACCCAATTTTCAGGGAACAGTGGCCACTAATAAAACATCTTCCAATCAAATAGATTGTAGTAAGCAGGAAGTTTATTTATAATCTAGTTTACATTATAACAGCTTAAATCCACTACTAATGGCGGAACAAAAAACATTACCAGCCTCAACTATAAAACTGTTCACAAAAATTTTGGAATCAATCATCACCGAACGATTAGTTATGTCAGAAGAACAAGGTTTGAGAAAAAATAGATCGACGCTGGACGCTATCTTTATAATCAGGCAAATTGTGGAAAAAACCATTGAGTACGGAAAACCCGCATTTATGTGCTTTATTCATCTCACCAAAACTTTTGATCGAGTAAAACTGTTCGATGTTATCAATATTTTTAGCAGGAAACACATAGGTACATAGCCATTTAAGGAACTATCAACTCACACCTTAATGAACCAAAAACTGAAAGAGGAAATTCCAAAGCCATCGGGAATTAGACAGGGAGACTCTCAAAGTCTTCAGCTGTTCAACATCATAATGAATGATATAATTAATCACGTTAAGAACTCGGGCAGAGGGTACAGACTTACAACTGGCGGAATAAAAATAATTTGCTATGCCGACGACGCTGTGATTATAGCTGAAAGCGAGGATGACCTTCAAAGACTCTTGCACGCATTCTATGTCAAAGCTATGGCCTACAACATGCAAATATCTACTACCAAAACAAAAACCCTCGCAATCGCTAAAGAGCCCGTCAGATGTAAACTCGCACTCGATAATAATTTAGTAGAGCAGGTAATGGAGTTTAACTAGAAGAAGAAGAAGAGCTTAAATCAACAGGCAATGGGAAGGTGCTTGATGTTCTTGAGGGTTTTCCAGTGAAGATTGGATCTGGTAAATGTATCTTTAAAATACTAGACCAAAGCATTGCTTCTATCTTCGACAATTGGAGAATACAAAATGGTCTTTATCTTTTCGTAGAAAGAAAATATCATACTCTGCATTGCTCATTTTTTTTCAAAACTTTTCCGACATAATATTAGCAAGTTCTTTTAGGCGCCAATTGCACAAGAACAGAAGAACGCTCAGAGACGTTTTTTCCTCTCGCTTCCGGTTTCCGTGTCTGTCTTGATTTCCGTTTGCCTGAGGCCCGCTGTGTGTTGTGTTCTATTTCCCTACGTGTTGGCGCCGTTATCGAGCGCATTCCGCTGGCGTCCTCTGTCCTCCAGTTACTGAAAACGTTGTCTGTTTTCTAGCTCTGCCTGTTCGATGTTCCCTTCTTCTTCAGTTCTCTTATTTCCTTAGTTAATTACATAAAAGTTAGTTAGATTTTGCATCTCGTTTTTCTGGTCCTCTATTTGTCTCTGGATTTGGTCGAAGATTAACCTTGGGCTTGCAGCCCTCCTTGTCTCATCGTAAGTTTCCCCTATTGGTTTTAGTATGATGTCTGACATCTCATTTAATCTCTTGGCTAGTGTTTCTCTGGCCTCTCTATTAAATTTAATTTTTCCCGACGTTCATCTGCTCACCACCCTTAGGATATCGCTCTTGCAGGTGATTATCTCGCCACCTCTTTCTGGTCCTCGTGTGATAGTTCTATTTTGTTCCTGTGTGTCTGTCTGCGTTTACGATCCTTCTGTTCCAGATTCTCACTCAAGGTTGGCCGGTTTGGTCCTGGTTCCAGGCACTGACGCTTGTGAGTCACTATGCGACTTGCTGTCAATCTCCTCCTCTTGATCGGTAACCAACATTTACCCGACCTTTGCTATCAGTGACGCCATTTTAAGTTATTGCTTCGGGCTTAAACGTTTTGTTGGCCTCTCTGGTGTCCTGGCCATCCTTACCTTTTTGGGTTGTCTTACGCGTGATCTTGGTAAGGACGGCCGTTTAGTGTGTTGCGCTAATTCCTCTTAATTGTAGGATGGTTGTTTTTTCCTCTTAACTCTGTGTTGTCATCCATTGCCATTGAGTGTTCGCCACCGTCCAATTTTTTTGTGTACAAAACAATCCGTCGGGTCGGCCCCGCGGTTTACTTTTCACTTTGTGAGACCTGTCTTCCCGGCACGCGATTTCCCGTAATCAGTCAGGGTACCATTATAAGGGCTTTGCGGCCGAAAGTTGTTCGCTTTTAGCGCTCTCTCCTAAGACGCACTGTTTGTCCGTTATTTATAAAAATAAATATGATTTGCCAGAAAGTGCATTCGTCCGATTTTGTCTTTACAAATGAGCAATTCCCTCGGCAGGGCGCACTCGCCTTAGACACGCGCACCCTTGAGCACACACTCTTGGGACGCATGACGACAAAGTTTATTCAGATCAGTAGTATATCCTTCCACCTTTAAATATATATTTCCAACTTGCCCCTAATGGGTCTGCAGAGTTCTTCTCGGTTTTCCTGCTGTCGCTTTCTAGTTTATACCTCTCTCAGTGTTTGCGCAATAGGCACACGTCCGCGCACCCAAAAGTTTGCCTCGGCGACTTTATCTATATCTTTTAAGACGACTTGATAATTTTCGAACTCTTTATTACATCGGACGTCAGCGGAATCGCTAAAATCTTACATTTCTGCGTCACTTTCATCTGAAGAACTTAGTGGTTGTATCGGCTGATACATAAAGAGAATGGCAAATGACAGACGGACAAAAAGTGATGGGACTCTGCGATGATACGCTCTTACACACTATTACGCTGTTACGGACTGCTATTCAGACCTGATACACGATGGTGTTCCGTTAGGTTGGGCGCAAATTGGGACGCGTATGACGCACGCGAAGCAGTACAGCACAGCCCGCTTTTTGTGGTCAGTGGAAATCAATGAAACAGCGTAAATTGGGACACAACGCGAAAGAGCATGACGCGTACCTCCGGACGAGTCGCGTCACGCTGTGATTGACCTACAGTTTTTCGTGTGCGTATGGCGCTGGCTAGCCATAAGAATATTGCCACCTTAGCGGTATAATATAATGTTATAATTCAACACTATAGCCGGAATTAAGCATTTACAAGATCACAGGCCCAACGACTGTGCACTAAATGTTTAATATTATCTGAACAAGGAGCAAAAAGCTAAAGCAGATCAAGGAGCGAAATAAATGTTTTTTTATTTTTAAATTATTCATATTGACTGCAAACCGAAACCGAAATCCAATCTAACTGACACGCACTGCGTCGCAATTTGCGGATCTTGCGCTACACGTGGGGCAAATTCGATTTAAAAGCTCGTGTGGGTCTCTTCATGCCCGTTGTACGAGTTTCAAATTGTGCTTAGTTTATGCATGGGTGAAACTGTGTCAAGTTGCGTTTTTGAGTTGATGCCGTTCTGTGGGTAATGAGATCATTTTTACTGCCCCACCAACTCACAGGTCGCAGCACCAACTCTGAGTGCACGAATAATCACATGAAGGCGACCGTCCCACAGAACCACCAGTTATCACCGGTGACCATCAAGCAGATTTCCAACATATGCGATTCCCATTGAACGGTCTCACAGTAAGCCTCACTAATTCACTAGTGATCCACTGCCGTCTATTGTTAAGTGTACAGCAACATAATCTGCGCCGGTGAGTTACTGTGAAGATGCGTTGGGTTGGCGCGCAAATGCAGTCCGAACATTCATTGTGTCACAGCTCTGCATATGTGAGTCTCTATATTACACATCATAATTGAATAGAAATGGTGGGGCCTAAGTGACCTGCGCTTTTTCTTCGTCTAACATCACGTCTCCATTACACAACAACCAAAACTGTGTTCTGTTTGGTATGTCTGTACGCGTCACTATGTCAACCGGCCTCCTCGGTGTGTACTAGGCAACTTCTCCTGTCGGTCTGGCGCCCTCACGCACGAGCATGGAGACTTGAAAGGAATTTGGTGCGTGGCGGGAGCTAGAGCTGGTCTCGTACGCGGACTCACTGTAAGTCTAAAGGTCCTCGTTCTCTCCCGGGGATACGCTTGTGAGTCAGCCGGGGACCTTAGCGCTGTGGTCGAGGTTGTAGCGCCTCATATGCAATAAATGACTGGTGTTAGTGGTGATGGATTCTAGCACGGCGGCAAGGCGTGAGTCCGTCAGTACAGAGGCTAAAGTGACTCGGAAGTACGGGACGCAGGTGAATTGGGTTTGGCAGTAGTTGCCAACGGCAGCCAACAAATTGTGGCATTGTGAAATGACGTGGTTGGCAGAAGGAATTAAATGGTGGTGCATGGAATTCGGCAGTACGGAGGCTTAGGACTCGGCAGTACGGAACAACGGAACATAGTAGATCTGGCAGTACGGAGAACCCGTAGCTCGGAAGTATGAGATTGAAATTGTTAGGGTCTGAATGGTAACTATATGACCCCCTGTAAGTCGTCATCCCTGGGATGAGCATGGGGGCGGAAAGAGCATGTTTCGCAATTAACGATTGGAAATGAAAGAAGAATGTGGACGAACATCTGTCCCCCCGCTAATTGGAGGGTGGTTGGTCTAAGGAACGGAGATGGGATTTCCCTTGATAGTGGTTTTGTGGAATAGGTAACGGTTTAGAAAAGGCTACTGGGAGCTGGAGTACCATAATGGCTAACGCTAGGTGGGTCGCCGAAAAGCAATTATTTAATGTACGCGTCTTTAAAATGGGGAGCGGCAAACTGATTCACAAGTGTTGATGTGGGAGATTCAAGGATTATTACGGGTTTTACCTGTATCAGGGAATGTATGGGAATTGAGGGAAAGTGGAAAGGCGAGCATAAGGGGAATTAATGGAGGACTTTGTTTTTGGATGATGTGTTGAGCAATGTTTTGGCTGACCTCGCGCTCGCACCCACCGCTCGGCCCATGTGTTGGAGTGAACGGAGAATAATTGCAGTACGCGAGTTTGTGCACATCAAACCATAGATCGAATGATCCAACGGAATCCGAAATAACCATAAAATGCCGCTAGTCTGTTCCATAAAGCAACGGGACTCACACACGGCCGCAAACAGTTGCTAAGACGGCAACTAAGTGGTACCGCTTACACATAAAATTTCTAATTATCAATTAATATTTGATGGTGCAACTACAGAACCTCAAGAGGGGCGAACAGTCACTTACAGTTACTCCGCTCTTCTGATATGCACAAAACAGTTTGTCAATGCAATCCAATTCCATTGTGTTATACAGCTTGCTATCGTCCAACTCACTCCAAATGGTACCATTCAGTTTCGTTTCGGGAATCTTCGACCAATTGAATGACTTCAATGGGTTGGACGGTTGCGGGATGTTTTTTTTTACTATTTCCATCTGAATTGTTCAACGTTCAGTAAGTTCCGTATGGGGCAAAACCAATAATTTTTACCTTTGGAAGTTCAACTTGATGCACCGATGTACCACTGCCAGGTGGCGGCGGTGGTGGCGCTATCAGTCCTGGAGGTGGAGGAGGTGGCACTAACGGTGGAGGTGGCGGCGGAGCAATAGTAGTTAGCGACTTTTCAGAGTGTATGTCTATCAGTGTCTTGTTTAACCCTATTGCTTTGGTATCATCCGGAATGCTTCCGGAGTTGACTAAACGCTCTAAAAACTCCATGCTTTTAGTTTAGGTATAGTTAATAACCAAAGTAACTCGCACTTTGGCGTAGATAGTGAAATGCATTTAATATTATAAAATAGCCCACTCACCCAATCTAGATCGTTCTCCTTTCTCGTAATTTACTTGCCTATCCAAGTCTGCAGCTTTATATTCAATTTCGTTGAGTTTTTGCCGCGTCTCAATGTGCAACGCTGTCTCCTTCTCCAATCGTTCCTTGATTCTACAATATCCAAAAAGAACATTTTTGCAGAACAGCCGTAAAATGCCCGTACCTGACTAAACTGGTTTCGATATCTTCCTTTTCCTGAGTTTTCTTGTCGAGTTCCTGTTCCTTTTTGGACAACCGAATAGACATGTCTGAGTTCTCCTTCTCTAATTCTTCAGCTTTTCTCCTGGCAGTCACCAGTTCCTCTTCCTTTGCAAGTAAATGGACTACTTCTTTCACATTAATATTCAACGGAGAAACATCTGGATCGCTTTTGCCTGCAAGTTCCACTATGAATTTTAACTTTTCAGCTTCAGGGGTAAAACTTACCTGAATCGCCGCTTTGTTGAAGAATAATTTGCTGCACGATGCGGTCGAACAATAACCAATGCTGTGGATGTGATCCGTAATCCAAAGGCAGCAAAAGGCAATGTTGCAGCATCGATAATAAATGGGGATAAGCAGCTGTGTGGCTAAGTTTCCTTCGGATCAAGTCGAACATAGCAGTCACGCTTTTAGTGTCCACATGTTCCTGTTCGAATTTTCGTGCCAGTTCTTTCTCGTCTTCGTTCCGAACCATTTCGAAAAAGTCCAAGTGACGGTCTAGTGTTTCATTTTCGTGCAGTCTTAGCTTGTCGATTACTGGTTGAATACCCAAGAGAAGAAATTCGTATCGCAAATGTAGCCTGCGAAGAAACATCGAATTTATGAAAATTTATATTGTGGTTAAGTGTGAGTTTTAGAAACCGCATTCTTATGTTCAATGGAGATGCTCAATGAAGGAAGCACGCATCACCAAACCAGGTCATACATACCCCCTTCAAGACTCTTCTGGAATTTATTGAATACACAGGGATAATGAGGGAGTAAAATACGAGGGGACAATAGGAGAGAAATAACCGCGGTGCAAGACCAAACACCACCTCGGCGGTCAGGGAAGGGGGTAAATAGCGAAGCTGGGGTCCCCCACAGAGTGCCAGATCATCAGCTCTCGGTGTGCGTAAGAGAGCATTTCTCAAACCTCAAATAAAAACATGCTCAATGGAGACACAATTAGCGACAAATAGATTGTAAGCAACCTCGGAAATCGAAAGAACCACGGCGAGAGGGCAACAATGGAAGGGTGGACCAAAACAAGAGTGGCAACACCAGGTCTACTTTATCGCTGAGAAATTAGATGTCGCGGCGGTACTTTCGGGCAATGCCTAAACGTTGTGCAGGGATGATTGGATAATCAGTGATGAGTGATGGATGGATTGATTGAGATAGTGCCAGGAGTAGTCGAATTGCTAAATCTTGTATTGATTACTTTTGCGAATTAGACCTGTCGATAAATTAAACGTAACCATATAGTGTGGCCTTTAATTAACAAACTATTCTCAATTGAAGCAAAAACATGACATACAGCAGAGTTGTTTGTGTGCATTTTCAATCTTCCAACCACAATCAGGAGGATTTTTCGAGGCAGGTTCCTCCATAAATAGATAAACGCGAAAATCAGAATTGTAAAATTTATTTTTTTTTAACAAACTGTAGACTGTAGTCAAGCAGCTGAGGTTGAGGACAATTGAACTAGTAAACAAACTGGCATGTTTCGGATACCACCTATAATATGTACGATTTAACATCGCATCGAAAGAGGAATCCAGAGAATCGGAGTACTTAGTCAAACCTCAGGTACCCCAGCACTGGTTAAGAGCATATTAGCTCTCGTCAGCTGGGTTTAGCCCCAAATTAGCGTGTTGCGGATATTATTCCGAGAGTAAGTTCTTTCGTAGTTGTACTCATTGGTTAGTGCAAATTTTGTTCAGTTTTGCTTCTTTAATTTCTGCATTCTGCAGTGGCAGGCCCTCTTGCCATTTAGAGAAGCCGGTAGGAGGTGAGGAACGTTTAGGCTAATAAAGCGGCAATAAAATTGATTTTGTCTCTTGTATTGGAAATTGCTTTCCGGCTTCTGGAATCAGCAGTAATAACAGCTACGGGTTTAGTGATTAGGGAATTTGGGTTGGCTTTTGGACCGGTTCGTTCGGGGTTGTTTGGAGCTTGTCTGAAGCGAGCTTGCGCTTAGCCTCATTTTCAAATTTGAGATTGGGGTTATTGGGACATTGGAAGTAACTGGAAAGGTGCAGGCTCTATAGAAATGTAGACCGCCACAGTGGCAGTGTGTGGCAGGAGGGGTTTGTGACGCAGTTGGACAGGGTGTGCCCGAATTTTTGCCAGTTTTTGCACTGCTGGACATGTGTGATATTTAGGGGATTGGGATTCCTCTACGGCTCAATGAGTAAGGGGGGCCCCGGATTTGTTCAAGAGCACACTAATCATGTTGGACACTTTTTTGGAGCGCCCGAGACAGAAAAAGTGAATTTTTTCTGGGGCGAAGCCCAGAACGGATATTCTTTATTAATTTCCTCAATGTCCATTCGGGCATCGAGGCATTTACTAGTGAAGGACAGTTTCCCGAGCTCTTGGGTGGTGGGGAGAATTGTTGGATGTTGTGGGACTTGAGGATTGAGGAGTTTGATAGTGGGTTTGAGTTTGGAACTGCAGGTTGAAAAAGATAACTACTTAACATCGTTAAAGAAAGAAAAGTCTTCTACCTCGGCCATATCCTTAAAGGAAGCAAATATAACATTCCTAAATCAATTCTGAAAGAACAATAGGACGAGGTAATATTATAGAAAAAATCCACCTTAACGTTCCTCCATTCTCATTTCAAATTCGGGAAGAAAGCAACACTCCTGGCTAAAACATGAAAACAAACGGCATCTTACACATAGTATGAAGAGTACAGACAGTCGACAACGCGCGGCTAAGCACAAGGCACAAATAAAAAAAAGAATGAGAAAACGTTCAAAAATATTTAGCAAACTTTTCATCTGTTTACAAAAAGTAACACTAATTTGGGTGGTTTTAGCCCAATTTGGTAGACAAAACGTTACTAAATATAGATAGATGAATAAAAGTCGTTGACTCGTCTATGTTTCTCCTTTCATTATAACCTTAGTTAGGAAAATTTTGAGGCAATGCTCATGCAAACATTGATTACCGCAAATTTTTAAAAATGTAAATGAAGGTTTTCCTTCAACCACAAAAGATACTTTTTTGTTACAAAATCGATAAACTTTGGCAATCAGTTTTTACCTCCAATATGTCTGACGTTTTGGGTAATAACTGGCAAGGACCAAGTGCTAAAGAGGAAGAGGACTACAGCGCCCAAATTGAAAAGAAACTACGACCAACTGACGAACTATGGGAAATAGCTCTTAACGCGTTGTGACGATTATAACAGCAAGCATACGAACTGCGGTGAGAGAAGTATATGCGTTGCAGGAGGCAGCTAATACAAAAATCAGTCCCGAAACTAAGGTATTGATCCGGGAGCGGGAAGCAGAAACTCGCCGAGATATGCAGAAGAGTGAGCAAAGCAATTTTAAACGACTGTAGAGCGTACAATACGAACTTGATCCAGAAAGCCATTGAGAACAACACCAATATGAGAGTTCTGCGCCCCGGACTGTTGAAGAAGAAAATTACAATATGTAAAATGAAAAACGACCACAATGAAGTTGTCACGGATAGGGACAAAATCACTGAAATCATCAAAACTGTTACCGTAACTTCTATCATCAGGCAGCCCCCAATGCCATCAGGGAGGGACGAGGAAACTCATCCTATATGTAGGAGCCGAGGAACTCTAGGAAATCGACAAAGCAGAACACAGAGCTGCACTAAGCCAATTTAAAAACGGCAAAGCGCCTGATGAGGAGCCAAAAAGCTGAAAACCGGTGGTGAGCCGCTGGAACAAGCACTTATGATACGCCTGAACAAATATCTCAAAGAGGACAGAGTTCTCGACTCATGGCAGAGCGGAGAGGTTATCTTGCTCTTTAAGAAAGGCGACTGAGCGAATATTTTTTATTTCCAACATTCATAAGCTGTCAAAATGGAAGAGGCATGTGTCACAGGAAACATTTCAATCGAGAGAGGCGAGGCGAAATTACCACGCCCAAACGTTTTACCCAAGCATTAGAAGACGAATATAAGAACCTCTCTTGGGAACGAAGGGAGTTAACATTGATGGAAACAGTCTCAATCATCTTTGCTTTGCCGACAGTATGGTTCTTATTAGCAGCGACCCCCAGAAACTGGAAATAATGCTGTATGAGCTCAAAAAAGCCGCCCAGCGAGGCGGCGGGACCGAAAAATAATTTACAAAAACCTAAAATTATGACTTCGAGCAGGGTGTCTCTGGGACACATCAAACTACAAAATAACAATCAGGCGGCAGAAATCACCATACGTATCGGCTGAACCAAGGCGGCATTCGTAGAGCTCAAGAGGAAGGTATATGATTCTTGCAGCTTGCCCTTCGCTACGGATAGGCTTGAAACTGTGACTCTAACGATGCACAGTGCAAACCGACTCCGGGTTTGTGAGCCAGCAACGAAGCCGGTGATGTTCGGGGGTCAGTCTGAGAGATCACATTCGAAACGGAGAGATTAGGAAGAGAACAGGGGTCGCAGGTGTGGTGCGCCTTAAGTGGCAATGGGCGGGTCACGTAGCGAGAGACAACATCAACCGGACTAGAACCTTACTACAATAGAGGCCGACCTCAAGCAAGCTGGCGAGATGACATCCGGTGCCATGCGGGGAGGCGCTGGATGCAGACGGGCCAGCGGAGTTCGATGAGGAAATTAATGGAAGAGGCATGTGTCTATGAGGGGACGTCAACAGGCTAAGAAGAAGCAGAAGGACTAGGTGGAAAACGTTGTTGAAGTTCCCACTTGTAGATAATAAATATAAAAATTTTTAGTTTTTCGTAGATTTTGGCATAACCTTAAAAAGCCGTCAAAATGGCGAGAAGATCTTTCAATTTTATTTTTTTTTATTTTAAATTTAAAAATTTGAAAACTGTTTTTTTTACCATAAAAATTATTTTTAATTTAAATATAAACGGGCACAACAAGAAAACATCTTTTATGCAAGCTGAACTTTATTCTGGAACTGGTGCAGATCGAGCATGCAGTAGAGTAAACAAAAATGTGTTGTGACTGCCAAAGATCACACGTGAAAAGTCACAGTTCAAGCGAATAAGACGTCTTGTTGACGTCATTAATAACGGCGAATGTCGTAATTTCAGGCTTATAAAACGTGGAGTATAGCTGAGAAAGCCTCCGGTCCAGCAGACTTAATAAAGGCGCAATATTGGAGATGCCAGTTCTGTCATTTGCGACGTCTATTGCACGTTTAATCTACGTATATCTCCATAGTAACGGTGGGCTTACACAGGTTTCTGATCCTTGGAATGGGAAGGACGTACCGGACGACCTTTACGGAGAAACTCCTGGTCGCGTAAGGGTCGTTAAGGTCGGATGGACGAAGTAGTCCACGGATCCCTCAGTGCAAGCAGCTACAACAGGCTGGTGGAGGGGAAGGACATGGAGATCGCTGGGTAGAATGTGTGGTGTGTGGATGTGAATAAACGAAGAAAAAACCAAGTATATGCACTCAGACAACTCAACAGAACAGGACGTAGATATAGAGTGGGTCAAAATGTCACTATGGAGGATTGCAATTGTAAGAGAATCGCAACTTTTAGGTATTTAGGAGTCACAATTACTCAAGATAACAATCTGACTGATCTGAAATTAAAGTCCGGATTCAGAGTGGAAACAAATGTCTCTATACACTACGATCAGTGACCATTGAAAGACATCTCGCGAAGAATAAAAATAACAATTTATCAAACCATTAAACGACCGACTGTTATGTGTGTTATGGTACGGAAATTGATAATTTTTGACTGAATAGTTCTGCGCCAGAATTATACAAAGATCCAGATATTGTGAAGAAGATAAAAGCAAGAAGGCTGCAATGGGGGGATAATGTGCAAATGTAGCCTGACATACGAACGCTAAAATTGGCGAATTTAGAATACGACCCAGCATTGACGGAAGATTGACAACAATGGAGGCCATAGTACAGTAGGCCAAGACCCACACCGGGTTGTAGAGCCATGGAGTAAGTAAGTAAGTAAGTAAGGAATGCGTAGTGTGATGTTGTAGTTGCTGGTGAGAAAGAGGCTATTGGTGAGCAAAGGTGAGAAGGTTAGCAATGAATGGGGTGGTAATACTGCAAATGACATGGAGATCGCAGCCATGGGAAAGACCCTGATAAAGTTGCGGTCTCTATGTGAAACGGATGAATATGCGGTAGTGTGGACGGACTACAGGGATGCCCTACGTGCAATGAATTACTATGAATCCCAATGACTCAAAGAGGCTGTAAGCCTGTAACACAAGTAACCAAATGGCAGGTAAGAGGTCGGATGGGATACTGGGTCATCCATGACCGGCAGCGGTTCTGGCCCAGTAGTAAGAATGGGAGGGAATTGTATGAGGTGTATGACAGAGTGGTAAAAGGTATGCTGGGTTTCAATAAAAAAGCACTGCAGCTTGCAACTTCCGTGCTTACTTGCACAAGTTTAGAATATGGAGCTATGGTGAGTGTGAATGTGCTCTGAGTGCTGAGACGAATCGGCACGCCAGGACGATATGTATAAAACCAGTTAGGGAAGCTGTGCGTGATAGTTTAGCTGCTGAGGCAGGTGTATACTGACGTAGTCGTCAGCGACGATGAATTCAACTAGATGGACGGGCGGTATTTGTCACTCTGGGTGCGGTGGGTGCCTGGGATCGGGAAGGCGGGCGGTTCAGTTGTTACTATGCGGGCTACCTTTCCTGTGTGACTGCCTGGGTTTTTAAGTGATCCTCTGTGGAAAACGGCAAACTGGTTGACAAGCCTGGAGAAGCTGCGGTGGTGGATTGGGCCAGGAGGGTTGAAGGCCGCATCCGCAATAACTGGCCTGACGAGATCGCGGGAGTAGTGTACGTCAGATGGCTAGCGCCCACGTCTACAAAACTGTAGAGGTGGAGAGTGGAGATAAGAGGTATAAAAGTGGAGCGAAGGGTTGATATGTTGAGCAATGATTTGGATGACCTCGCGCACGCTCATTCCGCCAGCCCCATGCTTCATGATATGTTGGAGATGTAAAAGCCAGCCAGTAAAAGTAGACCTGGATCGGAATACTTAGGGCTTATTCGTGCTCCCCATCCCACCACTTACTGGTTGGGTGGACGGTTTCAAGGAACGGGATTGGTGTTCCTGATAGTGGTTTCGGGAGTTAGTTGATTTTCGCTGAAAACGGCCTGAGACGTGAAGATCCAAAAGCAAAAGCTTGGGGGTCGTTGAGAGGCATAAATCTACCACGCGTGACTGCCCGCGGTGCTCTTCGACAGTGCCGCGATGCGACGTGGGCGCTCATAGTGAATGACGAGAATTGCCGTATTGTGTGTTAGGTTAATTCAAGCTAGGATGGGATGTTAGTGTGAGTAGTTTAGTTTAAGTTAGCTTAAATAACCGTCAAGTAACCTGCACTGGTTCCGGACACTTGGCACAGCGTTGTACCGCGCGTTTGGCTAAAGAGTGGGTATACAAAACTCTATGGCTTCGGCAGGGTGGGTTACCAAGAAGCGTAGGTCCTTTTCTGTTTAAACCTCTGTTAGTCAGCTATTTGAATGTGTGAAAATAACCATTAATGTTTATAGAGTCTTGGATATTGTGCTTTGAAACAATTAACTAATGAATAATGTTGGACTAAACCAGTAAGGGTGGGTGCAAACTAACTGACGTAGTTTATTGCAGAAGAATACATGCAAATTGAGCATGCTCAATCCATAGAACCTCGCTGAGGCACATATTTGTCGACCACAAAACTCTATTCTAGAGCGTTAAACAATAAATATCTCCATCTACGTAGAACATTAATCAAAGCAGATTTGGGTAGTTATCAGGATGATCACCCCCTCCCGTTCGCAGCACAGTTTTTGTGGTGCTTTGAGACGTATTTTCTTATCTTATGGAGAAGTAATTAAATTCAATGAGCGAAAACTGCTCAGAAAACGCAACTTTGCTTGAACTTCTCCAAGAAATTCGATGTAAGAGGAAATTCTCATGAACTCAGGAAATTATTAACCACGACCGCCAAGGTTTGATAGCCCCGTAAATTACCCAATTTTGTTTAAAATATTTTGAATCAAGTTGCATTCCGCAGTACAAACCTGAATTCCAAGTTCTCCTGGCCCAAACCATAATTTAAAACAGCATTAACGAATGACATGATAGCAGTTTTCAAGTTGACCTCGTCTTTGTAGATCCCCGTCGATCGATCGAGATCGTTAATGATTCCTTGGAATCGCACCCTTTCAAACGCAAACTTTTGGTAGTGATGCATGGCATCAAGAACCTTCTTATGGCCACCAGCTACCAGACAAACCGCCCCCATTATTTCCAATACGGCTATTTTAGTTTTAATGTTTTCAGTGCTAAGGGATTGAGCGATGATGTTTATGCTGGTCGGATGGGCCAGAACGTGTGCTCGGCCAGTCTGAAAGTAGCCCAAACTTGCTAAGTGGTCTGATATGAGGATCTGCACACTTACCGAGTTATTCATCAGGGCTTTAACGCATCCAATGATACTAGTGTGAATGGAACTTTGAGCAGTGAAATAGTCCATGGTCTTCAGGAAATTCAAGAGGCCCTTCAGGCCTTTGGATTCGATGAATTTGATGACAAAACTATGTGTGGATGTGCGAAGCGCCGTTTTGAGGGCATCCACTTGTTTGGTCCTCATTCTCACTTCCTCGTCGGTATTGATTTCTGGATATTGTAGCTGAAATAGATCATGTTTTAGCGGACATTTTTGAAGTTATTATGATGAACAGGACACTCACGGTAGCTAGTGCGTTCAGTCTTTGAATATAATCTTCGGGGCCAGTGGCCTGATCGGTGGTGTCTTCTCCTTTACGTGAGCAGTATATTTGCCATTTCTTCTGAGATGGTAGGCTTAACATTGCCGCTTTATTGGGAGCAGTCAAGTCTAGTTCGTCCTGAAAAAGTTTGTTCTATAAGCATAAGTAATTGCAAGTGGTATTGTTACAGCGAGCGTCAAAAAACGGGCCTGTGTGACTTTGCACAGGCATTGGAAAGTGCTAGTTAAGATGCCGATTCAGCCGACTAGACGCAAGTGGCAAACTAGCTTAGCAGCAATCTCAGCTCTTTCCTTCGATTGCAGTGCGTAATTACGACCAACATTTTTATCAAGATCTTGTGAACTGTGCTTTTAAAAGAAGTGTTTTTTTGGAAACCCAAATTTTTGTGGCGCAGTTGGTAGACCTTGAAAAATTTGGTGTATCGAACATCAATTTGTGTACACGAATAATTGTAAATTGGATTTCTTGTAAAAAGTTTGAGTTAGTTTTTCGGCTAGGATATTTTAACAGAAAACTGTTTCTTTATCTCAAAAAGGAAATATGGGCTTTCATGTTCAGAGCTACGCATAGAGAATGAAACGACTTTGCCCTGCTTGCACGGACATAGTCACGTATGGGTCCACCGACAATGGAATTTTAAACTAAAAAAATTGGTTGCCAGTTATTTAATATCGCCGAGTCGATAATCAGGGAGAACCTGCAACCACTCGGTGGTCAATACTAGTTATTACAATTAAATTGCATAATGCACCAGTAAATCGTAACGGTTAAGAAGATTTGTTGTTGCATTATTGCGTTTCAATCTCGGTGTTAGCGTCGTTCACCTTTTAGTGGCTAATTATCGGCCTGCTCCTGCACTTTAAGAAATCTTTGTGTTGCATCAAAGTGTTACATTTGAAAAGTTCCAACAAGCGCACTGAGAATTATTTCGAGCGAAATCTAATTGATTTAGACAACCAGAGAGATGCACATTCCATGTCATCAATAAGTAGTTTTTTATCGTTGAGATGCCGAAGGGCTGGACATCTCAGGACTTCTCCGTTTAATAGTGAATGGCATTTCAGAGTTTACGTGACCTTTTCGAAGATTGCGACACCTTAAAGGCTACTTACTTATTCAGCATTCTGCTTGTTTTCGTTTCTGCTGAATATTGGCGGGTTTTTGAACCTACAATAAGCGTGTGCACAATAAAAGGCTCATTAAATTTCGTCAATTTTTCCAAATTGCCCTCGATACTTATCTAAAGATAGCAAAACTAGTAATAGTAAGAATGATGAGGAAGCGGAAGAATTGGAACATTTTTCTTTCGAGCTGTCGAAGAAAGTTAAATATCTAAGTTTAGTTAAGAGACCATACTCGAGACCTCGGCTCAGACTGAAAATAAGGATCACTCCCTCAGGTTATTTCAATTTTATGACATTGAAAAAACAAGATCTTAAATTTGGTTACTCTTTATCTTTAAAGGCATTGTTTCCATCCTCCATGCATTTCTTTTTTTTTCAGTTAGCCCCCGCAGCGGCTTAGCTCCAATAAATCGGCCTGTGACGACCATAATCATTCGACTTTGTTATCAATTATGTTGTTAGGGATAATTTTCGTAAAATAATACACCCGATGCAAATTTAAGCGATTTGATGAACGCCTTGCACGATCTCCGTCAAATCAATCCATCCCTACTGATTATCCAATCATGCCTGGACAACACCCAGCGATTGCCCGGAAGTACCGCCGCGCCACCTAATATCCCAGCTATGAAGTAGCCCCGATGTTGCCATTCCGTTTTTGTCTCGGTTTTCGAGGTTTCACATTATAGTTTTGCATGTGTTGTGAACTGCTGAATCTAGTGGAAGAATTATTTTCTGTCTACGCAATTCTGATTTCTTATTTAAGATTTTTACGAACCATTTGAACGTTTTACATATTCAGCTGTATTTTCCACATTTAGAAAACATTTGTTGCTACGTCTAGGACGTTATTTCATTGGTTTTTTTTTCACTCCAGTTCGGTTTTTGTTAATCTTTTCTTTGGTTCAATGTTTTTAAATCAATAATTTCATAATTCAGATTCACTGTTCACTTTTTTCGTTTCCTGTGATATCTCAAAAGTGCATAGTGTCCTTTCTTTCTGAATTTTTTGAGTCCAATTAATTTTTGTCTAAATTTTAATTTGATTCTATTTTTTTTCAGTTCGTTATTCAATTTTCGTCGATTTAGTTTTGCAATCGTAGTAGTTTTTGGTAATTTTTCTTGTAAGGTCGGGTGATGTGTACGTTTGCTTTGTTATGTTTCATAAGGTTTTTTTAAGAACGATTTCAACATTTTTTTAGCATATTGCACTAAACAAATTAGCGTTTTTTTAGCTAAAAGCTGCTTCATTATTAATGCTGCGTTTCTTTAATACTCAACTGTATTTTAAACTCAATCGGTTTTTCTCTTTGTTATACTTTGAATTAATACTTTTTAAATTACAAGTAGATTTGTACTGTCCACCTTTGCCATTTTTGTGGTTCTTTAACTTTTTTTTTAAGAATGTGGTTTTTCAAACGTGAACTTTCAGGACGATTTGTTCCATTTGCTTCTTATCAGATTTGCCTTGATTTTGACCTGGAGCTAACTGATTTTGACTCGATCAAAAATACATTTCGCTCTTATTTCGTTTGATTATTTGTTAACCAAATACGACGATATTTATATAATAACAACGAACTATTTACCAAAAGCCGATGGTACAACTCGATTCAGTAGCTCAAAATACGCAAGAAAAATAGCTTTAAAAATGGAAATTCAAAATTTAGACCAGTGTTTGAAAGGACAAGCAAATTAACACGTTTTTACCATATAAGATAAATAGAAAAATTGGGGTGGCACGTGATAAATCGATTTAAAAGTCCAATTCATTTTTGCGCACAGATCTTGGAGGCTATAGAAGAGATTTTTACTTTTTCTTCTTGATTTTGACAGAACTATCTCCTGTTTTTTTCAACCGTTTATCTGATGTCTTATGACGATGAAGTCCAGCAAGTCTGGAGTCAGCACATCTTTTTGGTGGTCTTCCTAAAGCTCAGGTTGTGTTCGGTTCCTCCTTGTATGCGGCCTTGGCGAGTAAACATCGGGGCTACTTCATGGCTAGGACACTAGATGGTGCCCTCATACTTCCGGGAATGGCTGGGCGTTGCCGAGGAATGATTGGATAATCGCTGATCATTGACGAATCGATTGGATGGATATCGTGGAAGACGAATTGCTTAATTTTGTATAGAGTGTATTAATATCTGGTGGTAGAGCATCAAATCAATTACGTTCTTTTATATTAACAATATACGCCTTCAAAGTTTTATCCTGCTGAAAGTCTTAGCCACCAAAAAAAGTCTATTGGAATGTTGCCATGGACTACAAGCTAGCCATGAATCAACCAGATTTGGCAAATATAATTTTTATTGCCATCACTGAAAAAGCAAGCGTTTCTCCTCTACGAAAAATTGGCGTGTTATTTAGCAGGAATTAATTCCAGAATACAGATCCTTGAATGTTTGTTGTGATCTACTTGAAAATTAAGCGATTGAATGGAACTTTAGGTATTCATTTTGAATCGGAGGAGAATGGCAAATAAACAGTCCAGCAAATAGTCCTGATCGACGACTGGACAAATTTTTGTGGGTTTATCTGTTTGCTACGGTATACCAAGACCGTCCAAGTTCTTATAACGATTATTCCGCTGGGAAAGCAATGATCTACATTATCATCAATTATCTGTACCTCCTGTTAAATACATTAATTAAAAATTCTAAACATGTGTTCACAATTGATCTTAAATTATTCTCTAATAAAACAGAACCACCAGAACAACGTTTCTTGTTCAAACTAGTTAATTGTGGCCATTACCTGATAAAAACAACGAAAAGAAAAAACTACATTGGGAAACCACAATATTCAGAATATAAATAAAGGCATTCTTGAAATAAATAGTAATATATAGGAAGAATTTTTCCCAAAGTCCTGCCGGAAGCAGAAAGATTTTCTTTTTCCAAAAATTACTTGTCAGTCTTAGTCGCGAAAAAGTCCTTTCGTTTTTGATAGATTTTCATATAACCCTGCAGTGCCGGACTATAATATACATGGTGTCCGGATAATGTGTGAGACATTTTTTAAGGGTGCTACGTGCTAAGATAATGATAGTAAGTCGTCCAACAAAAATTCGAATTCTGAATATTTTTTAAGTCCATCAAACTTCTTTGTTTTACCTATTCTTAACATTTCTTCGTGAATCAAATTCAAAAGCGGTACAGAGTTAAAGATTAGTGATCTACAACTTTCTGATAAAAAATTGTTTCTCCACTTTACCCCTAGATGGCACTTTACCTTAAATACAAATTTAATTATTTCCATATCTTTTTTGGCACTTCAAATAGCGCAAAAAGTAATGTGCAATTTTAAACATTAAAAAATACTAGACAACAAATGTTTTCTTCGCACGACTCGGAGAACCTCTTTGTTTAGGAGCAAATCGATATCAACGTTTTTATCACTCTCAATCCAGCATCCTTGGATTTAATTGCAATCGCAGATAATCAAGTCGTCTGATTTTAAAATTTGTCAAATTTGAAAATTTATAGTAAAATATTCGAATTTGACTTTTTTACATGACTTAGTACCATTAGTTCAGCATGTAGATTCGAACATAAAAACTTATTAACGTATTGTTCGAACACCCTATATATGAAAACCCTGTACATCGCAAAAGATTAATAATATCATAAGAAAACGAAGTAAAGTTACTTATAAAAAATCTTCCACTGAAGCCTTGTTGAGAAAAGCCCGTAAATAACAAATTATCTGGTTCAGGTATCTCCGAGCGATTATGATAAAATGTCTTCGAGCATTTCAAGTACTATTGGCTTGCAAAAACTGATTGGCTCACACATCTGTTATTGCAGTTACCTCAGGTTACTTCAATATGCGGAAATAATTTAGTATATGCGTTACTTTTTGCAATTTATCAGCATATGGCTCAAATCGCGAACATTCACCCGGCTAATCGACGTCGAACATGCGACACAAAGAACATTTCTTGAGTTGGGAATATAATTTAAATTGGTTCTAAGATTGTCGTAGGATAAATTGCATTAAGTTCTTTCAAATTATATAAATTAGAAACGTGGAAATATCGCAGGTAGTCAAAGAATATTTTATTTATAAAATAGATTAAATTGAGATTTATTATGTACCTAATTCAATTAGATTTTATTTTATTTCAGTGGCTCTGAAGAAGTGCAAAAGTGGTATTTTAACGTTTTGATCGACAGAGAACTGTTTAATATCAAGACTCGTAAAATTTGAAATGTCGGCTTTGTTGCCAAACCAAAAACTACTATTATCAGACAAAGAAATATAGTTGGTAAATAACAGTCAACAGCCCTCGATGTATGTGCACCTTGCATGTGGGTCTTAAAGACCCAGAGAGGTCTGTCGACCGTAGTATAAGTCGAACAGATCAATGGAGAAATACCAGACTAAAAGAGATACCCGGTCCTCCAAGGATGGTGGTTGAGTTGTACTGCCTGGAGCATGGCATCCAACCTGATGGCCAGATGCCCTCTGATAAAACTGTGGGAGGTGGCGACGACAGTTTCAGCACCTTCTTCAGTGAAACTGGAGCAGGGAAACACGTTCCCCGAGCGGTTTTTGTTGATCTGGAGCCCACTGTGGTTGATGAAGTGAGAACGGGAA